CACACACACTTCAATCATAGCTTGACATTTTAAAATAGCAACATCCATAAGGTCATTTTAATATTCTCACAGTCATCCTTGTCGGCTCCACAGATTAATGTCAGTGGAGCAGGGCTTACCGGAGTGACGCCGGCCTCTTATTCCGCTGGCCAGCGATGATGGAGGCAACTTATTGTAGTGACAGTGGTGAATAGGATTACAGAGGAGCTGCATGGCACAAACCAGAGCTCTGGAAGAGAGGCTTTTTCATTTCACTGAAGAGCTATTTTTAAGTGTTGTCAAACCTGCCTGCAAAGAGCGCAGTCCTCTGATGATTATGAAAGCTGTGTTTTTGTAGAGATGACAGTGAAAAAAAAGGGATTTTTTTGTTGCCATTAGTCCATTTTTCTTTCTTATAAACTCAGAAACATTGGATTGGAAACATTGGACATGATGGCATCTAGTGTCTGATAAAGTCATGCCAGTGTGCACAAAAGAGCAGTGAGATCAAACAGTGTTAGCAGATAATATCAGCCAACACTTGCTTATTATCGTTAGGCAGGAGCAAAGCAACATCAGCATTTCTTGCACTTGTGTCCGGTACAATCATCAAATGTACTGCAGCTCTGACCTATTCTGTGAAGTTTATTACATGTTGCCAACAACAGATTCTAATTAAATGCTAATTTCTTTATTATTCATTCAGTAATTGTTAACTTTCTGCATTTGTTTCAGTGCTGGAGATGTAGTATACAGAAGGTAAGGCTTCTAGGTAGATCAATATTTTACTTCCTTTTAACCCCTGAAAGAATTGAGGTCTTTAGCTGCTAAATGTTAGACTATGTTCATCAGTTAGTCATTATCTTTACTGCTATTTCGGTTTCTCAGTGGGGTTATAAGATGTTTTTGGGGGGAAAGTGGTAAAAGGACCAGTTCTTATGTAACGCTTTTCTACTCTGAGCATTCGAAGTGCTTTATACAACAACAATAATGTATGAATAACAGCGTTGGTGCAAAAACGTTAGTTGCCTGTCAAACTGTGTTACCCTCAGCATTTGTTATAGATTCAGCTAAAAAAAACACAAAACAACCAAAAGATGTGTTTTTGTGACACAATTTGTTTCTGTGTTAAGCTGTTATCCTTGTAGATACATGTAGATAACACTGGTTTATCATTTTAGTTTTTTTATGCTTCAATGATTCATATGTCAGTGTACTAAAGCACTTTAGTAAACAAGCACACAAACAAACACTTTTTCACTGAAAATGAGTGAAAAAGAAGGCAATAAAAGCTTGGAGAACTATTGCTCAACACCACTGTAAACATGAAACATACAAGAAAGTCAGTTTCCTTGGAAGCAGTATATGTAGTGTATACAAGAAATATAGATCATAGACTGAATTTGTCACGGCGGGGTACACCGGTGTGTTTGTGATACAGACCCAAAAGCAGACACTAGAGAGATGAACTGCAGTTTAAAGCAAAGGCAAGACTAAAACCTGAACTGGGATAAACTAAACTCAACATGAACACATTGACGTGACCGTGACGTGAATCTGAACGGGCACCTGTGAAAACTATGACTCGAAATATGAACAAGGACCCGAACAAACGCATGAAAACAATCCTGAAACCTACTGTGACTTGAGATAAGCAGACAGACCAACACTGAACAGAGGAAGACAGAGGACTTAAATACACAGAAGGGTAATAAGGAAAGTGGAAACACCTGGGAAAACATGACGTCACAGGGAAAAGTAAAACTAAGCACAAAGAACATAGAAACAAGACTTTCAAAATAAAACAGGAAACATGAAAAGACATGAACTGGGACACGCAAGCTTGACACAAGAGACAGAGGGAAGGAGAGAGGGACACAGGAGAGACACATAAGGGGAACCTACATAGATGAGGAAGCAAACCAGTCTAAAAATCAGCCAAGACAAACTAATAATAATAATAAGAATACTAGCACATGATTTTAACATAATATTAAGACAAGAGATCAACAATACAAAATAACACAAAACACTGGGTCACAGATCAGTTCAGTTCATTGTTATTTCAAACATATACATTCACCAACATTTCATAATATCTTTCCATGCAGTTGTTTGAAAAGG